AATTACATGGCAAGAGTATGTAAAGTTCAGATTGTCTAGAAAGAGGAAGACTGTGGTTATTTAGAGATGGTATACATGAAAATCCATAAGAATCACTAAAAATTTTAAATTGATAAGTGGGCTTGGAATTAATAAGTGAAATCAGTTGTATTTCTATTGCTAGCAACAACAACTGAAAATGAAAATTACCAATATCATTTAAGCAGCATCAAAAATATTAGGCTCACTTGGGACCGGGGAGATGGCTCAGTAGAATAAGCGCTTGACTGGAAAGCGCAAGGGCCTGAGTTCAATCTCCAGTCTCCCCCAACCCCAAAAAAAAATATATATATATATTTTGAAGTTATATATATATATATATGAACATACTGAAAACTACCAAGACAACTACAGGGAGAAAAAGAAAAATATATCATATTCATGGAATGGAAGACTTCATAGTTAAAATGTTGATTCTTCTCAAACTGATCTACAAATTCAGTGTAATTCCAAACAAGATCCCAGCAGCCTTTTTAGTTTGGCAGAAAATAATATATTTTTTTTTGCTGTCCTTTATATTCTTTTCATTTAAAAAAAATCAATTTTGTTACGGTCTAATTTGCACACTATAAAACATGCCCATTCTAAACATTTAGTTGAGTAGTCTTGAACAATCATATGCACCCACATAACTGCCACTGAATCATGCTGTAGAACCATCCTCACACATCCATCACCTCTTGATCTCCCACCCTGACCTCAGCCAACCACCAATCTGCTCTTTGTCCCTGTAGATTAGTTTTGGCTCTTCTCGAACTTTATTGAAATGAGTCACAAAGGGTAGTAGAATGGATTTTGGGGCTAAATTCTGTCACTGAACAAAATACTCTTTCATGTCTATTCACATTGCTTAATGAATAAACACCACGTCCCTTTCTACGGGTGAGAATTGGTTAAATATTCCATAATTTGTGCATCCACCCACCAAGTGGCTTTGTTTAGAACTGTCGGGGGGGGGGGTTCCAGTTCAGGAACAGAATTGCAAGTAATATTCAGAGACAACTCTGTGTGTAGACATATTTTTTTTTATTTGTGTCTGGTAAAATCTAAACATAGAATTGGTCATATAGTACATGTATGTTGGCTATCAGAGAAGGCTATCAAAATGTTTTTTCCAAAATAAGTGGATGACTATGAAGACAGCAATATGCAATGTACTAATTATTGTAACTGTCCTATTAACCTGTTTTGAAACTGTTTCATTGCTATTTTATCTTTTTCTCATTACAATGAATAAATTTTTTTTAAAAAAGTGGATGATTTGCCTTCCCACCAACAAAGGAGAGTTTCTATTATTCTGTCATCTTGTCAAAGTTGGTGTTGCCAATTGTGATGGTTAATCTTTGTTGTCATCTTCACAGGCTTGAAAGATGCTGAGAAGATTAGCAAAGCACATTTCTGGGTGTGTCTGAGTGGCTCACAAGCTATGACCTAGGGCCTGTGTGGCCCCTTCTTAGGCTCTTTCCCCCTTGCTCTTCCTCCTACTTACTAAGAATTGAGCAGCATCACTCCCCACCACACTCTGACCATGAAGTTTTTGCCTTGGAGCCAGCTGACCATGGACTGCACCCAATGAAACTTTGAACCAACATAAATCTCTCCTCCTATAAGTTGTACAAATTAGATTAGGTCACAAAAATGAGAAGTTGACCAACATATCAGTCTTTTCAGCTTTGTCTTATGATCTAGTCAGCATTCTGTGAAGTCATATGTGTTAGCATTTTCAATCCCCAATAACCATTGGCATTGAGTATCTCCTTGCCCATTCATGTATCTTCTTTTGTCAAATGTGTTTAGACATATCGCCTGTTTTTAGACTGACTTGATCTTATCAGGGATAAAAATATGTTTTATATATTGATGTGTATAATATTCTGGATACACATCCCACATCAGTTACAAAGTGGCAATACCTCTCCCAGTCTATGTCTTGCCTTTTGGTTTTCTTCGTGATGTCTTTTAAGGGGCAGAAGTTGGCAGTTTGGATGACATCCAGGTTACCAACCTCCAGTTTATGGCCTCATCTGGGTCATGCTTTTCATGTCCTAGGAAAAGCAAGATGCTTCCAACATACCAAGTATTTTTTCCCAGGTCTCCTTTCAGGAGCCTCCTAGTTTTAGATTTTGCATGCATTTTGAGTTAAACCTTTGTGCATGCTAGGAAGTGAGGACTGAGGTTTATTCCATGTGGGTGCACAATTCCCAACACCATTTATTGAAGTACTATCCTGTCCCTTTTTGAAAGTATTTTGGAGGCTTATTGAAAATCATTTGGCCCTACAAGTCCTTTCTGCACCCTCCAATTCACACAGTGACAACCTGGTTTTTAAATGGATATGTGAAAGCAACAGACCTAGAAGATCCAAGATAATCTTGAAAAAGACAAAAACCTGAGAGTATAACACTACCATATAGAATAAACACAAAATTAACAATGAAAAAGAGCACATAATAGAGCCAGAAACAGACTAATACATGCACAGTCATATACTTTACAATAAACATTCACCTGCAATCTTCTGGGGGAAAGAATAGACCTGTCAATGGGGAAGAAATGAATGAAACTTGATCCCTACCTCACACCATAGATGAAATTAATTCAAATGAATCATAGAGCTAAATAAGAGTGGCAAAAATAGCCTGCCAAGCACAGGGTCCTGAGTTCAATCCCTGGTACCACTAAATAAATAAATAAATAAATAAATAAATAAATAGCTTCTTTAAAAAAGAGTGGTAAAAATAATAAAGCTTCTAGAACAATACACAGGAAATCATCTTTATCAATGTGAATAAACAACAATGTCTGGAACAGGATGCAGAACATACTAACCAGAGTTCCCACAAACTGATAAGAAAAACCAAGCAACCAATGAAAAAAATAAAACAGCAGGTGATATGAGCAAGAACTTCCCCAAAGATACATTCACATGGTCATCAAGCTCATGAAAGGGTCTCAGAATCCTTATCCATCACGGAAATGGAAGTCACAACCCCAGTGAGGTACCACCACAGCCCCATGGCTAAAGTTAAAGAGGATGACAATTTCAAGTGTGGACAAGGATGTATAGCAGACAGAACACTCATTGTCTGCTGGTGAGAAAATAAATTGTTATATCTGCCCCATTGTGGAGCACGAAAGAGGCATTGTACCACACTGATCTAATTAATACTGTACAGCAATGATGGTGAGCTCACTAGAGCCACACGTAGTAATGCTAAAGAAACCAGATGTGAAAAGCACAGAGATCTATTTACATAACACTCAAAACTACCCACAATTAGTGCCCAATCAAGTGTAGCCACCTGGGCTGATGGAGGCTCCAGGAAGCGGCAGGGCAAGGTCCCCAGAAAGTTCAAAATGGGTTGGGGGGTCTCCACCTTGCACCAGACACCTGGGGTCAGACACACTTTGCTGTGCAGAGTGTTTATGCTCCGGGTCTCTCCCTGCTTCACCTCTCCTCCCAGTCTTGACAACCACAAATGGCTCTCCAGGCCCCCTAGAGGAGGAAATTCAAACTTCCCCTGGTTACGGAACATGGGGAGACTAGAAAGTGTGTGCTCACTTTGTGAAAATTCCTCAAATTGCACATATGTGGTTCTTCAACTTTTGGCATGTTGAAATTTAAAGAAATTTCTTTTAAAAAAAAATCAGACAGTGAATAACTGGAGGAACAGAAAGGCTTCAGAGCAACCAGAGACAATACATGTTGGGTAGGTTAATGTCTTGCTTGTAGACATGAGGACTAGGACCAGGATTGCTGAGGGTAAGTAGCCCCTGGGTGGCCCTAGACAGAAGCCCACCCTGACTTCTGCTCCCTGGTCCTGGGTCCACGACCTCACTTATCCCTGCTGAGACAGAGCAGACCTGCACAGAGGACACTGAAGACCATCACTCCTGCAAACAGGATATCGGCTGTGTCAGAACCATCAAAAAGGGCTTGAGGTTTTCTTTTCAGCCCAGCCTCCTCCCCCCAAGGTCTGCTTTATCTGTGGGTGCCTGGTGCACAGCAGAGCAGGAAGAGATGGCAGCGGGAGAGACGCAGCTGTACGCCAAGGTCAGCAACAAGCTTAAGAGCCGCAGCACCCCCTCGTTGCTGGACCCACTCCTGGCCCTGGGCTTTCCAGCACACACTGCGTGAGTACCAGCAGCTGAGACTAGGGTGTTGGGGCCAGACACTTCAGGTGGGCCAGACCCTGCAGCAATCAAGGTGAACGGGCTAGCGGCGCTGACTTCTTGTTGCAGGGTGAGGGAGTTCTCAGAGGAAGGCCCTTTCTACATTTACATCCAAGATGACTTTAGCATCTGACAGAGGAGTTCTGCTAGCTAACTAAGGGGGGACCCTGAAACGCATGCACATGAGAAACCACGTGTTACTCTGGCTGCCTCCATTTCTGGGAGTTTGGAGGAAGTCGGGGGCTGTTGTGACCTCTTAAAGGTTACATTTTAAGGTCTCTCGAATTCCAGTGTGTGTTTCTGATGGCCATGGAAAGAACCCTGAGACAGGGTTTCTAAACTACACCAAGAAGAACCATCTGATCCTAGAGAGAATGTCCCACTCTTAGACATTATTAGAATGGCCACTCGTGAAACATGGTGGTTAGAAAATTACAGAAACATGTGGGTATGGTGGAGCACACTGTATGTCCAGCACTCAGAGAGCTGAGGCAAGAGAATCACTTGTGCTCAAGAACTGGAGACCAGCCTGGGTAACATAGTGGGACCCCTTTTGAAGGAAAGAAGGGAGGAAGGGAAGGAAGCACATCAAAAATCAACTCTAAGCACCCCAGGGTTTGGGGAAGGTGCTTCTCATTCCTCGGTGATGGAAATAAACCTTCCATGCTGCAGGAAACACCCTTGAACTAGGCCCTTACTTCTCCTCCACATCAGGGCTTTGTTGTCACCATGATGTGACAACTGTGTGCCTATGGAGCAGGAAGTAGACTCAAACATACACAAGAGACCGCTGTGGCTCACACACAACCCCTGAAGCCCAGTGCTTTCCTCCTGGCTCTGGACAAGAGCATCAGGGTTTGGAGACAGCAGTTGGTGGCCAAGGCAGGCCTTGAGCTGGCTCATGGTGCCACCAAAGCCCTCTAGTGCTCCCTGCCCAAGTCATGTTGTGCCCCCCCGTTCCCTCTTATTTATACAACGCACCTGTGAGGGGGGAAAAAGAGGGGTGTCTTGCATTTCCTTGCATGGGCTCCTTGTCCAGCCCCTCCAGGGGAGCATGTCCCCGTTGGGGTCCACCAGACAGCAGCAGGCCTGGCAGCAGCACCCAGCAACACTGAATCGGCATGCCCAGACCATCTCTTGGGCACCACACCAGTCTGATCAGCCTGGTCTGGTTCAGCTAAATCCTGCCCAGTGAATTTATACCAGAACAGCAATGCCAGGCAGCCAGGGAGCAGCAGGTGCTGGGGACCCACCTGTAAGGAGCCCCTGGGAAGCCCACGAACTGTTGTATGGGTGGCTGCACACCTGCTTCTTCCTGACTTCTCTCTGTATCTGCAGGCTGAAGGCCTTGGCAGCCACTGGGAGAAAGAGTGTGGAGGAGGCCTCCAGCTGGTGAGTACAGGGGGGCAGGGTCCAGAGAGGGCCAGGCATGCTGCCCTGTGCTGGAGGCTGTGCTCCCAGGGACCCCAAGAAGGGCCCAGGACCACTGCAGGACTGAGATGAAATAGCTCACATACCCCCAGCACCCAGCACAGGAAGCACGGTCCTCCTTTGAGGTAGAAAGAGAAAGCTTCAGCAAAGATTTCCTCTTGTGAAAACCTGACTTAGGGCTCAATGGTAAAGCATGTGCTTGGCATGGGTGAGTCCCGGGGTTTGATCTCCATCACCTCTCAAAGATTTGATTTAACTCAACTTTAACTACCAGAGAGTGGTAAGAGAAACAGTCAGGTTCTTTGTTAACTAAATACAGAGCAGCCATTGTGCTGCTGTGCGTGTGTGAAAAACAAAGGGCACAGCCAGGTATGGTGGCCCACACCTGCAATCTCAGCTCTCTGGGGGGCTGAGGCAGGAGGTTCGCAAGCTTGAGTGGAACCTGGACAACTTAGTGACTTAGTAAGACCTGTAGGGATCTGTTGATCTTACTGCGAACGGTTCTACCCAGTGAGGCACGGTGACAGGAATGAGAAAGATAAACAAGAAGACAAAAGCTGGGCCAGGCGGTTGCTAGTCTACCTGATAGGCAAGACTAACTCAACAGCACAACAAAATGATCATTTATTTATACTTTTGCAAAGTTTGTAATACATGGCACAAGGTTGCCTAGCCACTAATAGCCAACCTTGGGGCTGGGGAGATGGCTCAGTGGAATAAGCACTTCCCGGGCAAGTGCAAGGGCCTGAGTTCAATCCCCGGTTCTGCAAAAAAAAAAAAAAAAAAAAAATAGCCAACCTTAACCAGACAGGATGTTTATCTTAGGATTGAGGTAGCTTGTTTGCTTTAGGCACTGAGGCCCAGTCCCACCTACATATATTTGATCAATTTCCTAGCTTCCTGTGGCTTTCAACAAAGACTCTGTCTCAAAATAAAATATCTGAAAGAACTGGAGATGGAACTCAGTGTGAAGGTCCTGGATTCAATCCTCATGAAAGGAAAGAGGGGTGGTGGTGTGGAGGACCACCTGAGCAGCTCTCCTTGAAAGAAGAGCAATCGTCTTCACTTTGCCTGAGCCTGACCTATTTCCTTGTATTGGTAGGTACAGAGCTGGCCAGGACTTCTCTTTATCCTTTCAGTTGGCCTTAAGCAGTGCAAATTGGTCTAGCCAAAGTGCTGGTAGTAGTTTTTGAAGATGGCATGCATGTTTTCCTGATAATCCACACCAGCTGCTCTTTAATATGAGCTGGATCGAGACAGGACAAAGAGCCAGTGCTCCATGCTGTCAGCAGGGATCAAGCATCAAGATAGAGACTATGACTTCCTGACACTTGAAAGATTACACATCAGAGCTGAAGCACCAGACCCCAAAACATTAGATACTATCTCAATAATATAATGCAAATTGCCTTTTTTGCATATCCTTCTCTGTATATCGCAGAAGTAAATGCAGGCCTCCTACCTAGCCCAACTCACAGTACTCACCTACTTCCCACAATTCTCATTCATTCATCCTCAAGCCACTCCTCCTTCTTCACTGAATAAAACCTGAATGTGGCCCTGGGTTGGCCTCTTTATTCCAGAAAGCATCTTTGTGGCTGGACTTAGGCCCCTGGCTCCCCATAATTATAAATATGCTTTAATGTCTTTATTTTTGTCCTGGGTTGCACTGGGAATGGTAGATTGGAATTAACTTGGTGGGATTCCAATAATGTATTTTTGGGATTATAAATATAGATTTCTTGGACTGAGACGAGGACCAAGAGGGGCTTCCTACAGAGGGTGGCAGAAGGAGGGAAGCAAAGAGGGAGGGAGGGAGGGAGGAAGGAAGGAAGGAAGGAAGGAAGGAAGGAAGGAAAAAAGAAACAAAGAAAGAAAGAGAGAGAGAGAGAGAGAGAGAGAG